GGCACGGGCGGTGGGAGCTACTCTGAACGCAGGCACAAAAGGCTGGGGAGGGCCAGCGTTGAAACGGTGGCTTCGCAGCTATGCAAACGCTTGGCCACTCCTAAGGACGTTTCCAACGCTTCTCGCACGGCAGCACGCCCCCTCGGAGAGTCCTGGTCCGCAGCTCTGGGTCCTCCGCTGGACAACCCTCCCCCATGTGTCTGCCGCAAGAATCCACATTCCAGAACACCCCACCGCGGGGGCCGGATGTTTCCTGTCTGCAGCTCCCTGTGGGCTCGGCGCCCACCTCCCCGCTCCTCAGGGTGGGACCAGTTCTCTTCTCCACCCGTCCCCTGGCATCGCCGGGAGCCTGGCACGGGGCCCCCGCCAAGGACCCGCTCGGTCAGCATTTGCCAGACCGAGCTGAGCAGGCTGTGCCTTTGTCTCCTGCATGATAGATGGGCAATTATCCGATCAATAAGCACAAGCTGATTTACGTGAATCTCATTAATTATTTAAGTCATTCATTATTGAGAAGTCACTACCTGTTAGCTATTTAAATGATCACGAACTCTCTTGAGAAGCAGCAGCAAGGGTTAACTGAGCACCCACTATGTGCCAAGTTTTAATTTATTCCTCAGGACAACCTCAGGGGTGGGGGCATCCTTACCTTGGCCCCTCAACAAGGATCTGAAGGTTAAGGGGTGAAGTTACGTGCCCCAGGCCAGGGAGCTGGGACTCAAACCTGGGTCACATGGGCTTGAACCCAGGGGTCACTGTGCACCCTGCCAGCAGGAGGGCTCTGGGGTAGACATTGCAGCCGGGGCTCAGCACCATGGCGTCCTGGGATGACGTCCCTGAGCCCCGTGTGGCCGTGGCTGCAGCTCAGTCCCCACAGAATGTCTGAACCCCACACTCAACCCCTTGACTTGGGAATCGACACCGCGTCTGCCTCCTGTCCTGGGTGCTGGCCAGCTCGCGGTGGGTTCCTGCTCCCCTCCCCCTCCAGCAGTGGATGCCGCGCTGCCCAGGGGTCGGTCACGCCCCACCCCGACCACACTGGAGCCGGGTAGAAATGGGGGTTGCAGGAGATGAAGCCAGACCCACACGCCCGTTGGCCAGGGTGACTGGGCTGAGCTGGAGCAGCCGCCCCACAGGGCCAGGCCCCTGATTGCCGACCTCTCTCGCCGGCTTGCTTCCCTTCCCCTGAACTATCACTAAACGGCCTGCCTGAGTCACCTCAGATGCCCTTATGTGACTCAAGACATGCACAGGGAAGGAGCCAAGTAGTAAGTTTATTTTATAAGCTCATGCTGAAAAATTTTCCCCAGCCCAGACAGACTGATTTGCTCCCTTTGACCAGACTATGGAAACTTGGAAAGCCGTCCAATTTCCCCTTTTGCCTTGGCAGCTGGGAAACTCAAAACTCCGCTTCATGCTCAGCGGCAGTAAGGTTCTAAGTGCAGCAGCGGGCTTGCAGGCTTTGCTCGCCAGCTCTTTTGCCACCTCTCACGTTGACGTTCCCGCCCACGCACACGCCACACGCTGCCGCCACGGCAGCTTCAAACCCTTCCTGGCCGACCGACAATAGGATGAGCAAATAATCAGGAAACCAGAGGGCCAAACGAAGCAGCGAGAATGATCGGGCGCTTTCCGAGCTTGCCAGGGGCAACGGCCCACACCGCTCTGGGCCCCGCGCGGCAGCCACTCACCAGGCAGACGAACTCTGGAAGGCCACCAGCGGCGTGCTGTGGGGGTCTCCCTGCAGCGTGTGCACGGCCTGGGGGGCTGGCGGCAGGGGGCCCGGGGGCGGCTGCGGGGCCGGCTGCCCCGGCCGTGGGCCCCGAGCGGGGTCCCCCCACCGCCGCGGGTCCTGTTTCATCCATCGTCCGTGGATGCCCCACCGTGCCAGGTAGACCTTGCAAATGTCGTAGTTCATGGCCGAGTAATACAAAAGATCCAGAACCAGCAACATCAGCACGAAGAAGCCGTAGATCCAGACTCCCAGCAAGGCGGTGTAATTGCTGGGAACAGAGAGAGGTCGCGTGAGGGGGTTGATCGGGGGCACGGCACGGGGGAGGGGTGCCGGGCCCCCCTGCAGGGCGGCGTCCTGGCTCCTCTCCGCTGCCTGCCCTGTGCGCCTCCTTCCCTGGACCGCCCCTGCCCCCAGCACCCCTGGGCCGGCCACCCACGGGTCCCACACTGTCGGGCACTTGGGAGGAGCTCTGACTGGCCTTTGGGGCTCCCACGATGTGGCGGCTCATGCCCGCACCCCCTGCCTCCCCCAGCACGGAGGTCTGCTGTCACCTGCCCCTGTCTCCCATGGGTGCCCCTGCTCGCCACCCCCCTCCCCCTCCGGGCCTCTGCTCACGCTGTTCCTGCCACCTGGGCCGCTGTCACGCCAGCCCGCCTTGCCTTCCCCTGCAAGCTCCTTCCATCTTTCCCCCTCCCCGTCCCTCTATTCTCGCTTCTTGGGGTCCCCTCCACTTGGCATGACCCCGGCATCATTTCTCTTATTCGTTCATGCATCCTGGCCCCACTGTTGGCTGCCCCCTGCTCCCCGGGCAGAAGCAACAAAAGCCACTGGAGAGTTTGGTTGCAGACCTTCCCAGCCACGTGAAGCCCAGCTCTCCCGAGTGAAGCTGACTCTTCGCGGAAGCGCACGCTCTGCCAGCTCCCGGCGCCGGGCCTTTGCACGGGCCGTGCTTGCTGCCAGGCGGCCCTTCCCTTTCCCAGTCCAGCTCCCGCTAGCCCCCTGCTGGGGACCGCCTCCTCCAGGAAGACTTCCGGACACCCTTTCCCCTACACGGCTGGGTCAAGCCCCTCCTCCGGCCCATGGTCCTAGGTGCCCCTCAAGCCCAGCCCCCACCGCCCCAGGCCCCAGGCTGGAGTCTGGGCCTGCCCCACCCTGTGCCCAGCGGGGCTACGTTCCGGGCCTGCCACCATAGCTGGGGCTGCCGCGCTCCCAAAGGTGCTTGGCGGGGACGGCGGCTGTTCAAAGGCACCAGTTTATTAATCTCTGGCGCCGCCCCCGTCTGCGGGCATCTGCCTGGTGGGCGTGCGCACGGGTGCCGGGGAGGAGCGCTAGGCTGCGCCGGGGAGCAGAGCCGGCGTCCAGCCTGCGTGTGCGATGCCCCACGTCCCTCGCCCTGCTGGGCCTCTCGGGCAGAGCAGGCCCCCAAGACCCCGTGTGAAGCCGGGGCAGGAGCCGGCAGAGCCGGTTCCGGGTCCTCCTTTGCCTGGCTGCTGCGTGGCCCCGGAGAACCCTGCCCCTCTCGCGGCCTGGAGGTGGCCGTGGGGCCTTCCCAGTCTCCGGCTCCAGGTTCTGGTCCTTCCCAGGCTGGCTCCGGCCCTGGCTTCTGCCGCAGGGCGGGGCTGCTCTCCTGGGACTCCCCCCGGCCCCTCCAGGGCTGAGCCAGGGCCGGGGATCCGCTCTCTATCTGGAACGCACCCCCTCCCCTGCCCTCGCTCTGCAAAGTTCTTGGCCTGAAGACTGGGGGCCCTGGGTAGGGGAGGGCGGGGTGGGGGGTGGAGAGGCCTCTGTGTCCCGAGCACTTAGCATGGGGCAGCGTGGGGTGAGTGCTCAGGGCTCAGTAGCTGCTTAAGGAACAGCAACCTGACAGCTCTGCATCACTGTAGTCCTTGCTGCCTCCTGGGACTCCACCTCCCCGCCACCACCTCCATGAAGCCCGCCACAGTCTGATGGACCTGCTCACGCTAAAGTGTGAGTGGCTGACAGCCAGGCCCCAGGCTGCCTTTTTAAAGGACAGACTAGCTCCGCCCGGGGGCATGTGGATATGGAATTCCTTCTTGGGGAAAGAGGCGGTGGCCTCACCCAGCGTGCTCGGGCGAGTGTGCCAGGTGGATGTCCCTGCAGACAGAGGGGTGGGCCGAACTCCGGCCTCCCCCAGCAGCCTCCCTCCTGCAGCCCGCACGGAGCTGCTCCAAGCCAGGCTCTTCCTCGGTGGTTCACGGCAGCAGGCTCGGGCGGGGGGAGGGGCCACTGTGTGAGATGCTGTCTGGCAGAAGGGACTCCAGATGCCAGCTGGGGGTGGTGGCTGGGCCTGGAACCACTGGGACCAGAGATCACAGTACCAGAGGCACCAGGGGACACTTGCCCCTCACCTGCTTCAAACCTTAGCCACTTAATGCTCACAGCAGCCACGGAAGGAAATAGCATTCTCACCACCGTCCCTGTTTTACAGACGGGAAACTGAGGCTCAGAGGCATTAAGACACTTGTCTAAGGCCTCACAGACGTTAAGTGGCAGGACC